ATGGTCGCAATGGGATGAAGCTGATTTCAATTCAACCTGCATGGCCATGGGCTACCATAACAACGGTGTTTATGCCAATGACAGAAGGTATGCAGAAAGAGAGAACTCCTCAGAAACATCCATCTACCACAACTGCACCATTCCAACTACATGTGAGAAAAACCTGGCAAAGAAACAGCAATTTTGCAAAGGTAATAATGAAATGCACTCATGTAATACCTTCATGATCCCATTTTCCAAATTTGGTATCGAGATAAACTTCAAGTACATTGACAGAAAGGTAAATTGCCTGAAAACAATGATTTTCGTCGTCGACGATAGCACAGGTACAAGAGAGCTATAAAAATAGAAAAACTTACCACAACTGGCAATAGTTTTCCAGTCTGGTTGGCCAATGTGTTTAGGACGCTCTCGACTGCGTGTCTTGAGTCTTCAAACCATTGTCAATTAGTTAATTTTAACTGTTTTCTACAGTTTTAGCTAGACTCTAAAATTATAACTATTAAATGACTGCTGAAATAAGAACCTGCGCTATCATGCATTTAGGGCTCATGAACGTTAAAGTCCTCAAAAGAAGAGTCAAATTGATGCTTTCAAATTCTTCATTTCAGTTCCCCAAAAAAGTTAGGTTTCCCTTTCTTTTCCCGTTTTTCTCTTTCGCGTGCGATAAGAAATTTCAAATTTTCTGAACTCCACTTACACTTAACAAAACGTCTCTCCCTTGACTATAGAAGACTAATGCTCAAGACGTTATAGTTTATCATTATGAACTCCCCTATTCCACTCGAAAATTTTAGCGTTTTTACGAAAGTTACGAAAGCAGGCTTTTAAAAGTTTTAAAATACTGCAAAAATGAATTAGAACTCGTTTGCTTTCAAGTCATTGTGCTGATGAACCTTAAGAGGTGAAACACACACTATTGCTCTGCAAAAGGGGATCGTCGACCATATCGCTTCAAGGTGACTAACAATATGCAATGTCTACGTCTTGATCCACACTGGAAAACAAATGAAGCTGCAACGTCATAACTATTATTTTCGGAACCAATGAAACTTGTAGCCTGACGGAAATAACAAATTAATACGTTGAGAATTCAAGAAAGAAAATCTCATAATTAGCATTAACTACTAATTTACTTCGTGATTCATGGGCATTCGTAGTGTTGTATGAATTTCTCATTTCATAATTAGAGAATTCCATTCTCATTATTTAACATTTTGTAATTTCCTAAGTTCCTGTTCGCTTGAATGGGTCAAATGTGGAGTACGGAGGAAGAGTGGAAGTATTTTACAAAGGTAAATGGGCAAAGATCTGCAGGAAAGGATGGGATTTTGAAGATGTCAAAGTTATTTGTCGTCAACCTGGCTTTGAGGAGGCTTTGGCAGAATTCATTAGTTCAGACATAAAGGATGACGGAATTCCTTTTGTAATGTCAGATGTCTCTTGCAAAGGAGATGAGCCAGAACTTGCATCTTGTGCGCGTATTGATGGCAAGGTTAACATCTCACCTCAATGTTTATCAGATGGCAAGGGTTCTCAGGCGTTGTGTCAACCAAGTAAGTATTTCATTATAAAGCTCCAATCGTGAATCTGTTCTCTTGTGTTGTCTTTATTTCACCCTTAGACCTTTAAGAGTAAAGAAAAATGAGGTAAAAATTCGGATGTATATATGACCAGAAGCTCTTTTCTAAATAGTGCCTGTTGAAGTAAGGCTTGCGAAAAAACACATTAAGATAAAGACTTAAGATAAAGATAAACACTTGAGATAAAGATATGACTCAAACGGGAGATGATATAACTTGGTTTGGGGTAACATGACTAAGCTTAGTGGGGATTTTACTTGGTCTAAAGTAATATGACTCAAGTGACTTAAGGTAGGGCTTAAATGACTTTTATGGTGGTATCAATGGTTAACGTTGTTTATTGGATTTCATGTCTTGGCGAGGAGTTCCCTCGGTCTTCAAGGGGCTTCACGAATTTTAAAATTTGGATGTAACATTTAAATGACAGCGGTTGGGAAGACTTTCTATGGAGTAATATAACTTAGTCTAATATAATGCATGAAGAACATAAAAATCTGTCAATTTAAGCATTGGTATAAGTAAATAAATTCATCGTTTCTTTCTCTAGCTGTAATGTTATTTAAAATGAGATAACTTTTTT